ATGGAAATTTAGCCAAACAAACTTTAATTCATTACCTAGTAATGTATCCCTATACACCGGTTTTTTAACTTTCATTGCTCTTTAGCATCATTTATTTTATGTATGCACTCATTAATTTAGTATCCTACACTTTTCTAATGACCATTCATAGTATCTATTTATCTATCTCCTTACGCTCTCTACATAGACTTTTTTCTTAAGTTTGTTCTACATGGTTATTGTGGAAAGGGACTGGAGAATTTTACCGCCTAACCTTATTCTTCATTCAGCCTTAACTCATGTGATAACATTGGCCAACTCAGCTCTTTGTACATTTGGTGTGCCTCTTGGTAGCTGGCCGGTTGGTGCACGTCCCTTCTTAAGTCAAAGGCCAGCCTCTTTTTGAATGTTCACTGTCTTCTTGTGATGTATGCCAAATAAAGCGTGCCTCTGCAGAATCAAAAAAGCTACTTTCGTTTTTAGTCTATCTTAATCTCCTTCATTTCCTCTAGCCTTGTTCAGGTGAAGTCTGAAGGCCGGTTGAGGGATAAAGACTGTCAGGCGTAAACGTTTTAGAGGTCCTAATTATTCGCAAAAATCTGCCCAACTAGTTAACACGATGCACTCGTATGACAATTATTAATTGTAGTCTCGTTTTTATGTGAGTATCTATTAAGTGTAATACGATACTCTGCTATAAACTCAACCAGGTTGCTTCTGACGGACAAAATGTAGTTTTCGAAGAATCTCCTGAGCTAAGATTGATGTGAAGACTTTTATTTTGTATGGAAGTACATGTTGAGGGGATTCATAGGTCAATCTCACCAGAAGGCTCCGACTGATTCGTGTTTTACTGTGGCCGATTGGTATTAATACGATGCTTGGGTTGCTGCAGTCCACAAGACGTCCTCCAACGTTTTGGGCGAAGCCTTAGTGCTAGCTTGAGGCTTTTACAATAATGAGTCCCAGCTCTGACGATATTCGTTACATGATGAATGAAAGCTCATCCCGTCTTCGCCCGAAACGTTGGAGGATGTCTTGTGGACTGCATCGATCTAAAGGTCGCATTAGTACCAAATGGCCGCAGTACAACGCTAATCAGCTGGCGTCTTCTGGTGAGATTGACCTACGAATTTTTTCACTATGTACTTTTATATGAAATGAAAGTTTTCATATCATGCTTATAACGGGTCGAACAACTCGATTCTTGAGCTGTTTATATTTAATCTACAGACGTTTCTAGATTCAGTATCAGGCTGAGGGTCTGGCCGGGGTTCTGCGTTATTTTTCATGCTCTATTTACAAACTCAGCTATAAACCCTATGCCACTGTCGAGACTTCTTGGCAATGGACTTGTGCACTCTAAGTTAGTTCTTTGAACATATTTACTGACTGAAAGTGGAATAAACTGGGCTCTGAAGCCCCTGGCAGGAGCTTAATCACCTTTGGTAAGCTCATTTATAGGTGGGCTTTCGAGACTACCTTTAGACTATATATATATGCGATTTATTCACCCTATTTCGTTTAAGGTTATATGGTAGTTGAATTTTATTACAATGCAGTTAGTAGGCCTTACATTTCCATTTGATTTCGCATAACATTGCTTCCCAAAAGGTATATCATCCAGGATGGATTACAGTTTAAACTCTGCCTTAATCTCTTCCTTGTTTAAATTTATGCTGACTCAGGGACTGGTGTAAAAGAGGTACTGTTAACTTTTGTCGGTTCCTAAGTAGGTTTTTAATACTTTCCTACTAATGAAATGAAAAACAAATGGTGTAGTTGATTACTATAGCAAATACAGCTTTGCTTCAACGACAGTCCTGTCACATAATGTAATGTTAAGAAATTGATATCTTCCCGTGACCTAAAGGTACTCATGACAGTGTGGCGTAGTGACTAACGCACTGAGACTATTCGCTACAGTATCTGGGTTCGAGTTCCGCTATGGGTGCGGATGAGACCTAAGCGATGTGGAAACTGTAGTCCAGACCAGCTTGGATGAGACTGCCTTTGGGGAAGCAAGGCTATGCAAAATTCAATGGAAACGTAAGGCCTATTCTTGCCATTGTGAGAAAATTGAACTACCAATCTTTAATCACAAACGAAATAGGGTTAATTCATCTTATATGGCAGGTATATCAGACTATTTGGCACTAAATCGAGCTCTTCCTCACAATACATTGCCAAAGACCATTTCACCGAAGAGATGCTATCCTTTGTTGATATACTCGTTGAAAATGTATCATTGCAGTTGGCCTTTGTGTTTATTTTCTAAGCGCTACGTTCTTTTTACGAATTTCACTGTCCTACTATTATACGGCGTGCATTTCATACAGTGCATTTCCTCTTTATTTAAATGACCACAAGAATCGGGACGAAACAGGGCTATCTTGGGCATCAGCTAGTCACAGCTCACGATAATCATTTTGGTGAGAGGGCCACGCACCTTTGCTGTATGGCGCCAGAGCGGGTTGATAGTTAGGCTATCCAAGAAGAAACTGTCAGGATTGGGCTCGCCGGAACTTTGCTTCTCCTTAAAGTCTTGCCGTCTCACCGTCACCATTTCCGCCCGGATTCGAACTCTCGACCTGCCTTCCAAACGACAGGTCGCATGTTTCAGACGCTACCAAATTACAATGGCCAGGCGCATTTCTAGGGGGGTGAAATGATGCTAATGGTCCGTAGATCTCCATTATAAGGGCTTATACGGTTGTCTACATGCACCTAATCCTCAACGCAATGCGTATTCTAAAAAAGTGCCGGAGTTAGTATGTTTAGTTTGAATGCATTCTCATTATCGATCGTTCAAGCACAGTAAGTTCAGTTCATCGTGGAGCCTCGTTTGCCACTAACTAAACCCCTATTTGGTCATCGGTGCTTCGTGATCCTCTGTCTGGAAATAGCCTCGAGATATTTGATACCAATAGCCGAAAGAGCGTGATTATCTCGACATGTCGACCCAGACTGACAAGCGGCGATCTTTTAGCGCCGGCCTTAACCGGGTTGGCCACAAGTGTGACAATAACTCCAGTCACAAAGCGGCCAGATCGATGTCCACCTCACGACGCTCAGCCCGCTATGACCGCCGAAGATCAACTATGCGGACACCGACGACGTCATCATCAGATACAATAAACTCAGGCTCTTCTTCAAGCTCTTCTTCTACCTCCCCACGCTCCTCCCTACGTTCGGCCAGATTCACCTCTTCAAGATCACTGCATGGTTTTACCAGTGCATTGGAAGAGGAGGATGACTACTTGGAAGAGCAGGACTTGAAGCCACGAAGAGGAAAGATTTCGGGGGATAGAGCCAGCAGCGGGCCTCACAATGCAAGAGGGTCGAGAATGCCAAAAACGCCAAGGAGCAAAACAGGTTCTCAAAAGAGGCGACAAAGTAGGCTGTCAAGTGTATCAAAAAAAAGTATGAATACGAGTCCACTTGAACATCATCGGCCACGAGGACTTTCGGTGGACACGGTTTCGACGGCTGATGGCAAAATGAGAAGAGAAGAACAAACAGTAACCGGTGTAAGTAAGAAAGCGCTATACGGAAATCTTATTCCACTCAATGTGCACTCTTTGTGGTACCAAACTCTTTGTTGCTGTTTCGCTTTGGCCGAGATTGCACATCTTTTGTTGATTCGTGGGTTGTCATACCTTATTTCTCTGCTTCTAGCTGACAAGACGAAATACCCATCCTCCTATACCAAAGCTATAATATTCCCTGTAGAATCAAGTGTCATACCTTGAAACTAGCTGGTAGGCAAGAGAGCAAAGCGATTCGTCAATTGCGTCTGACTGGAATGACTAATGGAGAATTGCGTCCATAGAAATACTGGAGTCTGGATAAGTTGCTCCGAGGCATCTATGCCGAGTGATGTGTTTTCTGGATAGTCCTCTTGGGACTATGGGGCACTTTTTAATCAGAACTAAATCATCCTCGATCAGTTAACATAATTTTCCTACAAGGCTTCGTTTTGGCTAAGACCCATGCATCGTAGGCGATCTGAGATTGCTAAATTCTTATTTGGGAATTACTGATAGTTTGCAACATACTCATACTGAGGTTGTTTGACCTTGTTTCCGTAACATGGTCATATTGGTAGGAAGACTTAGAGGAACGCACCTAGTCC